ACCACGTCCGATCGTCTTGGACGGCTGCGACGAGGCTGCTGATTGGGCATGGTTGACCTAATAAGGTGCGAGCAGCCTGCTGATACAGCCCAACATGTTGTATGTCTGCCAAGAACTGGCCTAACCATGAGCTAGCAGGAGCCGCCTGCCATTGGAGGAACACAAGCTGTCGCAGCGTCGCAGGTCCCCGCTCTAGGAGTCGAAGCAGGAGACCTGCTCTGGCTTTGGCGAGTGCAAGCGGCGGCGTGGCTGCGCGGGCAGTATGAAGGATTGTATAGGAGTGGGCGCGATGTTCGCTTGCATGTCGTGGCTGGAGAGCACTCCAAAGCCTCGTATACAGTTTTGCCCACAATCTCCAGTGGCTCGAGACCCGAAGAACAATGGCAGCAGTACTAAAGGCGAATTTGGAAACTACCAATGACTGAAGGAGAAGGCGCCTATAGTAACCAGACTAATGCTGGGATTAGCAAACAAGGTGTGCCGTAAGGGCTTGAGGCTCCACGCTGCCTGCGAGAATCGGAAATTGATCTCGGGAACAGTGGTGCCACCACTCGTGACAATATTACCCAGATGCTTATAGGCCTGTACAACAGGCAAGTCGTGTTGAAGGCCTGTCGTCTCGTCCTGCACCGGCAGGGAGGTCTCGCCATCCTGAACGTGAAAGCCAAGGCCTGTCTGAAACGCAACTTTGGCAGGGAAGACAGCTGCAGTCTTGTCTGCTCCAAATGCAAGCTGGATCCCATTCGCTGTGGCATGTGTCAAATAGACGCTTGTCACAGCACGCACTTCTGTAACAAGGGCGGTTGCCGTGTCCGCTGCATGCATGACTGCAAAATCGTCGGCCCATGACGCAGGACCAAGAAAAGACGGAGCAGGATCGGCCTTCCAAGGAGGAGCGCCATTGCCTTTCGGCAAGCATGTCTGGAGACCTTTGCTGGCAAGCGCCTCTTGGACCGTACGGACATAAGCGGTAAACGAAATTGCGAAGAAAACATCCGCAAGCGGATCGCCTGGTCTCACACCAGCCTTGGTGGAGACCAAAGGAGTGAAATGATCCAGTCGGAACCAAGTTCCCGTGAACACTTCAGCGGCCAATGCCACTGCATGTTGTGAGCATCCGCATTCTGCGAGACTGGCAAGTCTGGAGAGCTGGGTGCGAAGTTCCTCAAAGGCATGTCCAGGCACCCCCAGCCTGTGGAATAAAGCACAAATGACCTTGTCGTTCATGGGAGCTCCTGTCAATGTTTCTCGCAAGACTTGGTAGTACGCGGCCCGTACATCGAAGAAAATCAGCGCAGGAAGCAAGCCACACTGGACCGTGTACGACTGGAAGCAGGTGACAGACAAGGAAATCGTATCAACTCCAATTCCACTCTTTACTCCCCCATGAAGATCCGTGACGTTCTCAAGCAAGGAAGGCACGATTTTGGCTCGGATCCCCCTATGGAACAGTTTCCCTGGAATGCTCGATAAAAGGATGCTTCGGTGCTTGTCGCACTTGAACACAGCGGAGGCCTTCTTGGCCAATGTAAAAAGAGAGCCGCCTTTCCACTCCACCGGCTCCTGGAGCGATAGTACACTCTTGGTCTGCAGCGCGACCAGGTGCCTCGCGGCAGTCAAGGGTTGCATTCGTAGCAACTCTGCAGTTATCCCATCTTGGCCTGCGGCCTTAGCTCTCTTTAAGCTAAGCACATCCTGCTCAATATCCGCAAGGCTTGGGAGCAGGTACGGATCGAAGCAGACAGCACCGGCAGAGTGTCGCCGCTGATCGGCAACATGCACAGCTGCACTATAAGCTTCGGCAGTAACTTGTTCCCCGGACTCCTGGCCAGCGAAGTGGTCACGCCATCTCTGTGCCCTTGCTTCATTGTCTGGGGCCAGAGTACCGTCAGCAAGCTCGACGGCGGGAAGGGCAACAAACTTGCCGCGGCGTGTGGCAGCCGCTTTCGGAAAGGCCTTGCGAACCTTCTGATACAACTGTTTCGGATGCTGAATGTCGGCCAACCCGACTTCCTTGACCAGAGAGTCCAAATAAGCATTGCGGTCAGCCTTGACAGAGGTTCGAAGATGCTGGCAGGTTCGATTGAGTGCTGCCCAAGCACGTGAAATGCTAATATTGACATCTCTGAACCAAGCCGCAACCCGCGAAAGGGCCGCATGAGAAAGTGTCTGACCGCGTTGATGCAAGACAAAGCCCACGAATCCGAGGGCAGGCCTACGTCTGCACAGTTCCTGATTCTCCTGTCGCAGATAGCGACGTAACTGCTTACGGAGCTCAACAAGATCGAGAGTTTGCTCAGTGAGGAAAAACTGCCGAGCAGTGGGCCTGGTCGGAGCCAGGACAGCCTGACCGGCAGCAACCCAGTCCTCAACGAAACTGGCATAGTGAGAATCCACATCCTTGGACCAGGAAGACAGAGGACGCTCCTGGAGGGCCTTACGAAATGTACACCTGTCTATCTTCGTGTCAAGGTCATTGGGCCGGCAGGCCTTTCTGGCAAAGACAGGCGCAGCATCGGCTTCCCCTGCTTCTCGGAAAAAACAGGTGAGCTGGGTGGGCACGTGATCATATTTCTTTTGCAGCGACTCAAAGGTGTACAATACTTTTGTGCGAACATGGAAGGCCATCCACGTTTGGGGTATGGCAACATAGTCTAATCTATGTCTAGTATCGAACACCGAATGCCATGTCCATGATTCGCCGCTGTGGCACTCTGTGAAGGTCGCTGGTAAGCATAAATGATTGTGGACCAGGAAGTCATGGAAGTGGCCACCAGCTGCCGTTTCTGTTTCGGCCGCATGTCCGTTCACAGCTGGGCTTACAAGGCTGCCAAGCCGGCTATTTGCATCTGTAAGGAATATTAAGGGCACGCCAGGCCTCAGCCGATCGACTTCTTGCTGGCGATGTCGCCAGAATTCTCGAACATGAAAGTTGGGATCTTGCGGATCCGAAGGCGCATGTGCAACCAGCACATAGCATGTGAAGCGTGGAGCATCTACACTGACAAGAATGTGGCGCGGGGAAAAAGCGACTACTGTACAATGCTGCACGGTAATGCACAGAGGAACTCCATTAACGTGTGCATAAGGAGTGCATTTGCTGATCCAAAGCGCACACCCCAATTGCCCAGAAGGGGTTGCAGCTGAATGCAGACACGTGAATTGTCTGTCTGGCAGTGTCGCTGTTTCCTGCAATCGTGTCTCTTGCAGACCGACAAACAAAACTTCAGCCTTCAGCAATTGCGTGGTCATAAGGTGCTTTTTACCAACCAGACGCATGCCTGTGCAGGCTGCCCGGCCTGCTGCATGACCACCTTTGTCCAGAAGGGTGAGCACATTGTACGAGACACAACGGATTTGAAATGTGGCTGGAGCATCTGCACCGGGTACAGAGCAAAGTCCCATAGTCGGCGCGGGCCGTGTTCTGGGAGCCTGTCGCTGCATACCTGCATCCCCGCCTCGGGCTGGAATAAAAGTCGGGCTAGGAATACTCTCCTATTCAACCCTTAACCCGGGAAATCAGACTGCGGACTGAATTCGTTGTTTCTTAAGAATAGGCATTCCGAAGGGTTTTGTAGAATGCTGGAAAAAGAGTAGTTGTCCTTGAGAAGACGATCGAGCGGATTGCAGCTTCTTTGCTCTTGCAAACGATGTTCTTTGCCACAGGTTATAGGCAACTCAGCCTTATGAGCGAAATAGTTGGTACGATTACTTGATGCTAAGTCCTGCCCCCCCAAGAATTCTACAAAGCTCGCTTGGAGTCCTGCATAGTCCTGCTCAACTCCAAATTGATATACCAATCCTCCCAAGCCCTGGAGCTGAAGACCTTGTGGATGCCAGCATGGCCGGCCGTGCTTGTGGCTTCCAAAAGGTGCTACCACCTCGTTGCATTGCCTAACTCGGAATGTCGGATTGTGCTGTGGCTTCCTATGTCACTCACGCTTTTGCTGTGCATGCCTCCAGATTTGATGTTCAAAGGTGCCCCAAGCCCTGATTCCCGTTCGATTTTTGGGTGCCCCAATGGCATTTAAGAGTTCGCCGGTACTGGTCGAAGAGCTTATCCGAGAAGGCCAGGATTCACTCAGGGTTTTTTTGTAAGTTTCGATTCCGAACTCTGTTCCCTTTCCCATAAGCTCTTTCTCGCAGGATTGCACCAGATGCCCGATGAGTACTGGATCCGGTGCCAGGAGCTGGTTTATTCGGACGAGGACACAACGACGGATCCTTCGAAGATGCCCCAGGCACGAGTGAAGGTTTGTCGGGGTGGGTCTTAGAACAAAGTCCTTTTGTCGGCAGGTTCCCATCCCGACCTCGCACATGTGGGCAATGTTGCAGAACTACCGAAACCATGGAGCCTGCTACTACTTGGCGAAAGTAGTCAAGAAGTTCCAGTGAAGGTTTCTCGGATGATATACTACAATCCCGATCTGCAAGCTTTCTTTTCATCTCATACTCCAGCACACGATCTCAGGTGCACTGGGATGGATGCCATCGTGGTCCTTGGATGCTTGGGCTTGGAGTCTGCTAGAGCAGCTGTGGAGCCGAAGACGGGGAATCGGGGTCGCAGCTGTTGATGCTCTTGAAAAATTGTGCTCATGTGTGAGTGTGCATAAAAGCAACTGCAGCAGCACTGTATATCGCGACTGCTTGTCTCTGCTTGTACTTCCCTCGCAGGTGATCGTGATCTTTTGCTGGTGTGCGACGATTTCGCAGGCCTTCCTCGTCTCTTGGAGCAATTAGAAGCAAAAAGCGCGAATTCGTCTTTTTCCAAATCGTGAAGACATCGAGGGTTGATATCTGATATTCCTGATCATTTGAGATCCAAGGTGCTAGCCTTGCAATTGCCACTACGAGATTTCTCCAGTGCCCTCCATTAAGCATTCTGTGCTGTCTGCTCTCGTCGGTGAGTCGGAGTGCAATCAAGCTTGAGCGACTTGTGGTGTCTAGGTTTTGGGTTCAAGCTTGGTTTGTGTGCTTAGGGCTTAGGGCGATCCTGAGCCATGCCTCGCAGGGGAGTGACTTTGGGTGACAAGGAAGCCTTATCGGGTCTAGCAGCAAGCTGGGACAAAAGCAAGGCAATCCGAGGCCATCTGTTGAAGACGGGAAATCTGCTCAGATGGCCCTCCCCTGCCCAAGTCGGCTGCATCAACTTCGAGACTTTGGGTCTCAACTACAGGGTCATGACCAAACTGCTCCGAATTTGGCTGCCTAAGATCGATACCCTGAAGACGGTAAACATCTTTGCATGCAGACAGGAGGCTGGGTTCTTAATTATATATAGTTCAGTAAACGAGTTGGGTTTAGGAATTCATTGCTTAATCCTCGTCCCTGAAGATTGCCCAGCTTCGCTCGGATCTCAGCTTGCCCGCCGATCAAGTGAAGATCGCCTGCGATGCGAGCAGTGTCAGGGGCTTCATGAGTTACATGACAAAGCGGCACGATGGGTCGATTCGAAGGGTGCTTGGGTTGCATTTGGCTCTGTGGGCTCTTCCATCCGATTCCTAGGGGCCACTTCGAGTTGGGGCGCTTTCGATTTGTTCCTAGAAATAGATTTGATAGGAGATTTCCTCGCTTTTTCTCCCATACCCAAGGTTACTAACTTTGGTTTTTGGGTGGGGGTCTGGGCTTGCAGGAACTACTTGGGGATTGGAGTGTCTGTATTGAAGAGTGTGGCAATTAGTCTTGTGGTCTAGGATTATGATTAAATTATCAGGTTAATCAGGCCCCTTGAACCATAACTTTCAAGGACCCTCAAGTTGCCAAGCTTTTCGACGTCATCGGCGAATATTTCGAAGTGGTGCAGGTGCAGCACGGCCAGGGCCTGGAGAGTGGATCTTCTTCTGAGTCTCTTGTCAAGAGCGAGGGACCAGATGACGAGGAGTTGGATGACGAAGAGCTCGCAGTAGCTCTTGGGGCCCCCAAACGGGAGCTAGCTTCTGATTTGGGTGCAGGCTCTTCAGTTGAATCCTTGCACACGGGGCTAACGAACGAGCTTCACAAGGTTTCCTTGGATGAGTCGCCGCCGCCCGAGATCATCAGAGTGTCAGCTCCGAAGGCAGTTTCTCCTTCTGTGCTTCTGGACAAGAGGAACAAGATTGAAGCTCTCAAGCATCTTGCTGCAAAGGGTTAGTTCAAGTTTTAAATCTAGTTGTTCGGCTTTTGGAGAAATAGTTTCAGGCGGGAGATTGAGATCAAGAAGCGATCGATTAATTGTGCCCGTCCATGGAAGCGAGCGAAGCCGGACGAACCGGAGGACACACAAGTGGTGGATCTGTTCCCCGTGGCCAAGAACTTGAAAGCCGAGTTCGATGCAGTCGATGATAAGGGTCCTGTGTCGGCGAATGAGGTTGCGAGTGCATCCCAGCAGCCTCCGGCTTTGGAAGATTCTGCTGAATCGCAGGGGTCCGATGATCTTTTCCATGCCGAGCCCCAGGAGTTCTTGACCCGAGAGTCCCAATTTGCTGACCGCAAGCAGGCAGAGGAGCCGGGCGATGATTTCGATCTTCCGGAGCCAACGAAGCCAAAGGCCAAAGCAAAGGCCAAATCTAAGGCTAAGGCAAAGGCCAAAGCCAAGGGTAAGGCTAAAGCCAAGGCTGCTAGTAAGAGTAAGGCAAGCCCGGGCAAGCCTAGAGGAAGGCCTCGCAAGGACAAGGCAAAGCCTGCAGTTCACGCCGACCTCAAGTCGGAAGCAGCCGACGGCGAGGCGGATGATCCCGAGGACGAGTTGAAGTCGCAAGCCGATGGCGAGGCCGAGCACCCCGAGGCGAAGAAGGAAGAGGAGCATCCCGATGACAATATCGACGAGGAGAAGGACGAGCCCATGCATGCCGAGGAGAAGGCCAAGGTTCGGAAGTCGGCAGCCCCCAATCCGATCTTTGCCCGTCGCTATCGCCCCGGTTTCTGTGTCTTTGCCGGTAAACGCTGGGATGCTATCAAAGCGAGCTTCGAGCTGATCATCGCGAATCGTGTGAAAACCCCTTCAACGGTACAGGTACCTAGGCTGCTTAGGGGGATTATGCCAGGGATTCATGCAAATTCTTGTCCGGCAATCCAATCTGCTCAGGCTCTCTTTTGGACCCATTGTGTCTCCTGCCTGGGCGAGGCGGGCTTGCAGAAGGGAGCCAGGCCCCAGGCGAAGGACAACACCTGGGATGTGGCGAAACTCCGAAAAGTTTGCGACAACGCCGCCTATTCCTTCTTGACCCTCGAGTCTACCCAGAGTCCCTAGATTTCGAAAGGATTGACTTGCTCCGAGTTGGTTCTAAAGCAAACCCTAAACCCTAAAAAAAAAACCTAAACCCTAAACCCTAACCAACAAACTCCCCGATCCGAAGCCCAGGCTACTTGCTCTGACCAAGTTTCGGCCGATCGCCGGGCATCTTTGCCCAACCGGTGATGACAGGGGTTTTTCTACTGTGCTAGCAGTGATGCTGGGGAGTGAAGGATAAGCTTTCGTGCCAAATCTGGTGTATGATTACAATCACCCCGCACAAGAGTGTACTTCACGCCCGAAGCCGCCTTCAAGTGCCAGCAGCTGCTTCCAGATTCAGCCAGCAATCTGGATTTCAATCCACAATTCCAGAACCTGGTCTTTGCGACCGGGCACAGGGGTGTTTGCAGAAGTTCGAACGAAATGGTCAAAAGAGCGATTGCATCCAATTGTTCGTGCACTGTGGTTTTGTTTTTTTCTCCTGTTGTGGGCTTCTGAGCAGGTACACAGCTTTCGACTATGCCGCCGAAGCTTCGGCCTGGCATGCTGGTCTATGCCAAGTACGGTGTGGTCACTTCGGATAGTCCGGGCCAGCATGTTTACTTGCTTTAAGCAGGAATGTCTTGACTTCGTGAAATGCCAGTGTCATGCTGAGTGCACGTCTAGCAGCAACTGTCCGTGGCCATGTTATCGCCAGCTGTGGCAATGTAGTCAAATCGGAGAGCGATTATCTCGGGGACACACTCATTGGATGCTTTGCCACTCGCCTAGAATTCTATGCACTTGGCCGCCAGCAAGCATGTGCAAGAAGATTTGAACAGCACCATTGTTTCTCTTGAAACACAAAAAATCAGGTTTCGATTACTTGAGCCCAGACCAACCCGAAGCCTTACATGCTCACTTCGAAATCCGAACTTAAACCCGGCGAGCCTCATAAGCCTTCTGCTGGTTCCCAGGTGCATGCTCTTCGTGCCAGCCGCAATGCCAAGGTGTCGGGTGTCCTGGGTTAGAAGGTAAGGAGAAACCTTTGGGGTTCAGGGTTTAGGGGTTTAAGGGTTATAAAAGGGGTTACAGGGGTTCGGGCCTCGTGACTTACGGGTAAGTGCTAAGGGCTTAGGGTTCAGGGAAGCAAGGTCCAAGCTTCAGGGTGTCAGTTTGCTGTAGTTTGGGTTTGGCAACCACAGTGACAGTAATTGTTTAATCCGGGGCAGGGTTTTTCTGCAAAGCAGCTGGTCCAGCTGTGGTGTCAGCAATACTGTAGGACACAGGATGGATGGTCCAAGCCCAGTACTAATGACTAAGCCCGCAGGTTAGAAGCCCAACTTATGTTAACCTATACATTAAGACTAGTAATACCCCTGAAGCCACTCCTTGGTACGATCGGCTATCGTATACTCTTCCAGCTACAGTCAAAACCTTCATCCCCAGCCACACCATCAGCCGTAGGAGCCACGATGCCTGCCAGGTGCTGCTTCTTGCCGGCGACCCTCGACGACACCAGTGATCCTGCAGTGTCTTGTCCGGGCAATATGGTTGTTAGGCTTTCGAGGTTCGTGGCTTGTCGTTGCACTACCATGTGGCCGAGAGTACTTCTGCAGCCATAGAGAGGTATCGGGTTTTCGGGTTTGGTCGTTCTTCACAGCTAGTGAATAGGAACGGCGGCCGAAAAACTTACGGAGTAGGTAGGTAGGTAGGTAGGTA